GTATGATCTACAGGACACGTGTTCTGAAATGTGAGGGGGGGGGGGACAATCCTCTGCTTTTACAGATACATATCTATCAAGTTATCCTCTGTCAAAGAATCAAAAGCAATCCTTGTAAGTGACAATTTACTTTTACACTCTTGTAGAAGGTCAGGGTGGTCATGGCAAACTGTTAAAAAATAAATTTAACAGAGTGCAAGTGCAACGTAATTGAAGGGATTGCTTACGTGTGTAAGCAAGTGTGTGTGTGTCTCAGAGGAAGAAACAGGCCCCAATTAGTATGATGCAATGTTAGATAACAACAGTAATGTCCACACGGTAGCCCACAGCTTCTGTAATGTTACTGTATGTAAGTCATTAGTGTCCTCTACAGGAACCTCCCATGTGATCAGACTTTGCTTTGGTGAACAACAGGACCGGCCTTTGGGGACACGCTGGGCTACAGCCAGTTTGTAAACGGCTAATTATGACCCAGCGGCCACTGTGTGCTGCCTCAGGGAACGCTCTGCTGAGAATACTTCGCTAATCACAAACAACTTTGAAAATGGAGACATCAAAACAGTTTGACTACAACTTTTAAAGTCATAAGCAGCAAAGTTATTATTTAACTAATAGGTTAGCTGGATTCAGCAGGTCATATTGTCTTTTGCCCTTTGAAAGCAATAAGTAACACTATTGTGTTACTTATTGTTATTCTGGAGTATACTCCAGACTATAATATCATATTACAATGAAAAGTAAACTTATTGCCGCCTGAACATGAGCTGTCTGTAGGCAAAAAGGCAAATACAACAGTCCAATCCAACATCAATCTGCGGTGACAGTTTCCATTCTTTGTAAAAAAATCATTTCAAGAAAAAATTGCTTCATGCTGGGGACCAATGTGAGAAATAAGGCCTAACTGTTACTGATGAGTGGTTAAACACACGATTCCCTCAAGAGGAAAAATAAAGTAGACACATTCATTCATTCATCTATTCACTACTTTAAAGGAACAAGTAGTGAGTGAAATGATAAAGGTACCTTACTATATGATCAGACATTAAGGAAACATGCTATGTTGAAGTGCTGGCTTCTCTGACAACAATGTAGCAGTCAGTATGTCCTCCTTCTAACTTTAGATTCTGGTCCTGAATGCTCTGGATTTGTTTGGCCCAGAGAAGGTAGGCAGTACCCCGACACAGCCGTTTTGGACGCCTCTCGGTTTGCCAGGTATGTGACCATATGAGCTCTGGTTCATTTATAAAGAGCTGATAGCCTAGCACATAAAGGATATATATGGGGTCATGGGTCCACGGTAATTATGAAGAAAAGCAAAGTGAGAAAACAAAAGATAGAATACATAAAGTCTACTCACCCTTCACTCTTCTGCTGAGGGCAATTTTCATGGTGGAAAATTATATTATATAATATTTGTTATTTATTTTTCAAATAATTATTACTGTTAATAATATTTCAATATTAGTAGTAAGATTATCAATATTATTTTCATCGTCATTATTCTCCCTTTACTTACATTTATACTGTGTGGCACTGGTTCCAACTTCCTTTTCACTTCACCTTAAACTATTTGACTTATGCTCAATATTTACAATCTATGTTTATGCTCCATCACAGTCATCTGGAAGGAGCTCAGTGATGCAGGGGAGTACTTTTGGCTGCAGAGGATTGTGGGTCAGAATAAATAGAAGAGCATGCTAACTTGCATACTGCAAAATCAGGCAGGCTGTAGGACGACATCGTGATCCCTTTGAAATGTTGCATTTGACACATTCGTACATTTTAAATTTGTTTGAGTAGAATGGAACGATAGTGAAAATTGGTATTGCAACACAACCATAGCTTCTCAATTGAAGGCAATGCTTTCTTACGTCTGCCTACCAGAAGCCTACGGCCTGTTTTGTCTCTTATTGAAGGATCAGTATTAATCTCAGAAGAGGTAACCCAGTGACCATTACCCTGTGTTAACCCCCAGACACACACGCTGACATATGAACGCACACACAGCTGGTACCGGCTGGCCTCTTGAAGGCCCAGATGTTGCAGAAGGATTTAATGCCTCGCTGTTATTATGTCTTTGTGTGTCACTCTCTTAACACTGCTGCTGCCGAGCCAGTCTGACCTTGAGTGTATGTTACTAAAAGCAGCAAAGAGTTAAGAAGCTTTGTGATCTGTTGAGGTACTTAAAGTGAGTGAGTGAGCGAGGAAACGCTATATTGAGGAAGCTATAGGATGAGAGAGTGAGAGGGTAAAGAGCCGTAGGCCGAAGAAGAAGAGAACCAGATGGAGTGATTGACAGGAGGAAAAAGAGTTATTTAACATCACAGAAGAACGCATAGACACAGAGAGAAGAAAAGAGTGCAGCAGAGCTTGCGATGGGTGGGGGGAGAGGTTGGTGGTTGGTGGATTAAGGCAGGATAGAGAGGATTAGAGTCTGTTTTGGTCTGGTAGTAAAATCACGTCCATGTCAGTCACCACTGGCCGCTGCTGCCGCTGACACGCTCTCACTGCTGATTCTCTTCAGCTCACAGATCACTTCACTGAATCATCACCGCAGCTGAAACTGGGCGAGAAGAAGTGGAGGACGAGGAGGTGGTGAGTAAGTCTCTTTTACAGTTTGAACTGTGTGTGTGTGTGTGTGTGTGTGTGTGTGTGTGTGTGTGTGTGTGTGTGTGTGTGTTGTTGTTTGAGGACTGAGTTCTGACCAGGAGATCTACCTGAGAGTCTGCAGCTCCCTGAGGCTCGATGCTAATCTCAGCATGCTAACACAGTTACTTTGTCAGCAACACATCATCTTTAAAGCGGTGTCAGAACAGAATGCAATCTTACTTCATACTTATGGCTGATTAGAGCCTACAGATAAGGAGCGTGTGCCGTGTGGTTTTATTGATGGTTATAAGAAAACTATTTGACATTTGATTGTGCTTCATGAGAAGTTAGATAATCAAAAGAATAAAATTCTAAAGCGACACAGCTCTTTTAAAAATGGGACAATCCATCCAATACTAAACTGGCTTTTGCGATTCATTGAGTCCCTATAGTAACATCTATCCATCCATTGTCTATACTGCTTTTTCCTGTTCGGTGTTGCGAGGGGGCCGGAGCTGATCCCAGCTGTCGTTGGATGAGAGGCGGGGTACAACCTGTAGGCCTGCTATTCACCAGCCAATCACAGGGCTGACATATAGAGACAGACAACCAGCCACACTCACATTCACACCTACAGACAATTTAGAGTCTCCAGTTAACCTAACGAGCATGTGTTTGGACTGTGGGAGGAAGCCAGAGTACCTGGAGAGAACCCACACATGCACAGGGAGAACATGCAGACTCCACACAGAGAGGCTCCTGTCAGACAGGGATTCAAACCGAGAACCTCCTCACTAACCACTGCAGCACCGTGCAGCCTTAGTGGCATCCAAACAAAAGTACAAGTAATCTGCAGTTGGTGGCCCGTGTTGGTTTTGGGGAACCCGAAGTTTGGAGTAGAGGGTGGCGCTGAAGAGGAGGGCGGGGGTAGGCAAACTTTAAGTTTTCAAACCAGTGGCTGATTTCTTAGCTACTTGTGGTAGCGGCTAACTTCAGCACTGGGTATCAACCACTCTGTGTAAGTTTAAACCTAACCAGGAAGGTAATGCCAACACGCCGACAGAAACACTTAAAGGACTCTTGGTGTTCATGTGTTACTTTTAATGACAGCTGTCCTTTTCTATCGGAAAGGTATCCTTAAATGACTTCTTTCCCTGATTTCCGACTCTATCTACCATCCTATCCCTACACTAAAGGCACAAAAAGATAATGGTAGGGGAAACACTGATGACAGACAGAAGCAGAAAGAGTCCCGGCTCCATGTTGCCGTGTCCATGTTGACGCAGGTGAAGAGTTCAGATCCCCGGTCAGCTGGCATACCGGTGTTATGCAGAGAGATGCGTCCTTACCACAAATAACATGCATCTCGCATAAAACGTTAACAGATGTGTCCCCGAGGTGGTCACAACAAAGTTTTGCGTGCTTCTATTATGGTCATGATAACCCTGCCCCCAGCCCCTGACCTCAGCAGTTCTTCAAGTAGACCAGCAAGGAGTTGGTGCGACTCTGGAACCGTTTTTTCTGGCTGGTGAAACACAAAGAACTGGTGCTAGATTAGGCACTAGCTCTGAACCAGCTCTGGAACGGGCTTGGGGGAAAAGGGTCCTCAATGAGGTTGAGTCATCTGGAGTTGTGTTGTAATGACTCCGCTGTGTGTGTGTGTGTGTGTTTGTGTGTGTGTGTGTGTGTGTGTGTGTGTGTGTGTGTGTGTGTGTTGAGAGAGAGAGAGAGAGAGAGGGAGAAAGCTGTTACAGGAAAGTGTGAGCAGAACCGGAAGCTGCGGAGGGATAAGAAGCTAAAGAGGAGACGTAACCTCAAATTAACCTACATTCATTAACCTGCTGCTGTAAGAGGAAGCACCAGAATAACCTGATCACATCAGTCAGCTGTGTGTGTGTGTGTGTGTGTGTGTGTGTGTGTGTGTGTGTGTGTGATGCAACACCGCAGCAACAAAACAAAGAAATTGTAATGCAATGAAACTCCTGCACGCTCTCTAAATTGTAAAAATACTTTGGCATCGTTACTGTGCTGGAAATTTCTGTTAACGAGAGTTTTTTTAATAAAAGATCTTTGAGCTTTTATTTTTCTTTAATTATTCTGTTTGCAAACAGAAGGAGCATGGCTTCAGAGTGCACATTAAGAACAGTCAACAGCCAAGTTCAAAAAAGACAAAGAGAAATACACTTTTATACGTATCAAAAAAAGGGGGGTGGGCAACCTCTGTTGTCGGGCAGATTTAAGAGTTTAATGCTAAACATGGTCTTCAAAGAAAAACAGAAGTGCAAAGGTTTCAGTATGAAAACAGAAGTTCATGCAGAGGTTTCAGTATGAAAACAGAAGTTCATACAGAGGTTTCAGTATGAAAACAGAAGTTCATGCTCTGAAGGACAGGTCATGTGTAGGCCAGGTGTGACTTGAACAACGGTATTTTGTAAATGCCACAGCTTGTTTTTAGCACATCAGCATAATGATATTTCCATGACATTAATGAAATATTTTGCATTTATTTTCAGTGAAAGTGGCTTTCTGCACTGACTCTGGTTGATCACCATGAGACAAGCTATGGAGGATGGTAAGACACACACACTTACACACACTCACACTCTGTATGACCTCTAATATCTGACCTTTAATTAACGTTTTTCTTGTTTGCCTTACTTGAGTTCAGTCTCAACCTTGAACACGGGTTTAAATCCAGTGAGGTCTTAATTTGAGTGTAATCTGAAACCTAATTCAGACGGTATTAGTGTCCGTCATCGGGGTCAGGGCTCCTCAGTGGACTTAATCTCCTCTGTCTGTTTTCACCTTCTGCTCAGGAGAAACTTTAAACATCTGCTGTGATATCACCTTTAACACCATAATAAATCTGCTGCTGCGATCTGCGGCTCCTTTCCCGCAACATCGTTCCCTACTCTCTCTCGCCCTGATTTCCTACTTCATCCAAAAAGGCCAAAAACAACACAAAAAGAGTTATATTTACTTGTTTTCTTCTGTGTGTGTGTGTGTTTCTGTGTGTGCGCAGGTGTCAGTGAAGTGCTGTCCAATGTGGTCGAGGACGTTGGTCAGGCCATGGACAGAAACATCAGCGGAGCTCACATCCTCCACGAGCTACTGAGTGCCCCGTGGCTGCGCGCGGTGCTGAAGGTAAAAAAAAAACCACACACACAAAAACACACCACCCAGACCTCGCTCAGTGACATCATTTAATTTTTGTCCCCTCCAGATGTATGAGTGCCTGTTGCAGTTCCAGAGGTTGACACCGAGCCCCTTTCTGCCTTATGCCTCAGGACTTTCACATGAGGTAATACAAACATTATATTAAATTATATTGAGTCAGAGCTGACAAATATTGAGCAGCAATTGATGATTTGAAAGTGGCGGGGATGCCAGAAATGTTGTAAATGCATCAGAGCTGTGTCTGTCATACAGTGGCCGCTGTTAAGAGACAGTTGTCATAGAGACAGGATCTATAAAGATGTATTTATTATTGTTTTTAAGCAGGGTGCATCTCATGCAGTCTCTAAAGATACCTTATGTTGATTGTCTGTCCGTCCGTCCGTCCGTCCGCCCGCCTGCCTGCCCGTCCGTCCGTCCGTCCGTCCGCCTGTCCGTCTGTCTGACTGTCTGTCTGTCTGTCCATCAGATCATGTCTGGGATACAGAAGGTCCACCGTCCCTCAGCTGAAGCTCGAGAGCTCTACAGCCTCCTCAGCTCACCTCACATCCAGGTGTGTATAATCTTTAAGGAGCTGTAACAAAGCTCATACTGAATTCTCTCTTCTCACACCTGTCACCTGTCCCTCAGGCCCTCCTATCATCTCACGACAGTGTAGCTCAGTCAGACTACGGACCTGTGTTACCCCCGCTGCCTGATGAGATGCCTGAGGATGAGGAGGCCATGAGGATCGTCTGTCTGGTGAAGAACAACCAGCCGCTGGTAAGACAGAAGAACTTTGATAAACTAGTGTTGTTGAAATAACAGGTTCATTCTGATGAACTGATCACAGAAAAGTAATAGTTAATAACATTAACGCAGATTAATCGTACTCTGACGTCATCCTACATCCGTCCACAGCAACACAGCTAAAAGACATTAAAAGAAGAGATATTTCCTTTATCTTTGTCCACAAAGAACAGAGAAGTGCAGAGAAGAGGAAGTATAGGCGATGGAATAGGAATGATTCGTAGTCGTTGGAGCAGCCTTCGTCGCTTCACGTTGGACCGCCTCGTCCCTGTGAGGAGGGCGTGGTCAGGGGAGGAGCTTAGAGCCACTGAGAGTGAAGCCAGGCCTTTGCCCCTCCCAAGGGCAGGACCGTCCCGTCCTTTTCTCCCCCGCTATCAGTCCACAGGAAGCTGCTGTCTGTGCCCGCAAACAGCAGAGCTTCAGAAGAAACGGCTCAACCAATCAGCTCCCTCTGTTTTTGTTCCCGCCCCCTGCTCTGGTAAGAGGAGGAGAAGGCAGGAAGTCACTCAGGTCATGCTGTCACCAATCATCTTGTCGTTTATCCATCCCATCCCCATGTTTGATTCAGACACGATAGTTTTCCTGTATTTCTGTTCTCAATGATCTTTCTTTCTTATCTTTGTGCTCTTTCCAACATGGAGGTACATTTTTAGAGAAACCTAAACACATTAGGGAAGAACATGCCTCTACCGGAGGGAGCAGCGATGACTACGCCTACCCTCCTCCTCCTGTTCCAGCTTACAGTCTCAGCCTACCAAACTCCCCTGTCCTGTATAAAAGGGGTCCCGCAGGGGGAGAGTCAAGGAACATCCCTACACCAGGCAGAACCCCCTCTGGTACCAGGACGAACCCTCTCAGAGCTCACACAGCACCTTGTAGTCCTGCAACTCTACGCTCCTCTCAGCAGCAAGGAGTTAATACTCTTCCAACTGTTGTGGGGCATCATGGGTGTCAAAGTCGATCTAATAAAAAACGGCAAGAAGAGCCTCCCTCGATGGTTCCTAACTATACTGACAATCGTCACAATGGAAGCCAGAACCAACCGAAACAAAGACAAAACAAGCAGCTAAAACCGAAACCTCTTCAACACTCTCAGCCGCCTGATCTCACCAAACAGTGCGGCCTTGAAGAGCTCAGGTCCACTGTTCACACCAGCAGTATTAGGCTGGATCCTCTCCATCTTGACCAGAAAATGGTGGTGGCGACAGAGAGGATAGCAGAAAGTGCAGAAGAGAACACCCAGGCACTCAACCTGCTGGCTGAGGTGGTGGACAAGCTCCAGGGCCTCATCGTGGCCAGCAAAAACCAAGAGGTGTCACCCTCACGCCGGCTGAAAAAGTCCACTCCTCCCACACCACCTCCAAGGGTCTCCTCAATCTCTCCAAAGGTGGTGCGCAAACCTCCAACACCTTACCCACACCGCCTCTCCACCTCTTCTTCTTCCTCCTGCTCCTCGTCCTCTTCGTCCTCGTCTGTCAGTGAAGATTTTTTGACATCACAGAATCCAAAAAGAATGAATGGAGGATCCAAAAGGACAATGGTGATGTTTGGTCCCACCCACAGAGCGAGCGGCAGTGGTAGTCATGGACAGGTTAGGCTCAACAATGGGACTGTTTCTAAAGCTCTGATGGAGAACAAACAGGACTGTAACAGCACGGGGTGCTTGACAGCAAGGAAGAAGAAGAAGAAAAAAAAGAATAAGTAGACTGAAAAAATCTGTCTCCTCTCTTTGTCTGCTCATGCATCATCAATCATAGACAATTCAACTGACTCAAATGACTCTTGTTTTTTTAACTTTTACAATCTACAACACACATCCACATCAGCACATGGATCACAATGGCCCTAAATGTCACTAAATGCCCGAAGAAGACAGGTTTGGAAATCCTTGTTTGGGAGACATTTGATGTTTCATCTCTGGATTTATCTCCTGAAGGGAAGAATACATATTTAAAGGTACAGAGAAATGACATTCATCATCAAGCATCTCCATTTTCCTCCCTCTGTTCGAGAATGTGCTACAATCATCATCATCGACCCTTTTTCATTCTTTGCAGTTCCTCCTACAAAACATACTGCCCATTGGTCAGTCAAGGACTGTATTCTATTGCAGCAATGACAGTCTGCCATATGTGTCTATAAAAGTGGAATAAAGTCGAGGCCACCAAATAATTAAGTGGTCGTCTGGTGACAGAGGTAAACATGGGTGTCATCTGCATATGGTGTGATGTGAATGTGGACTCTGCTCATTATGCTCACACGCTTGTGTTTCTGTGTTAGGATGTACTTAATGTGTTAGTTAGTTGATGTGTTATCAAAGTAACAAAGCCTTTGTTGTCTGCTTAGGGAGCATGATGTCACTTGATCTGATCCGTTTGCGCTCAAGATAAGATAGAAAAAAGTCAAACCGAGTGTTCGAGTCTGTTTGGACAATGTGTCAGGAAGCGAGTCAATCGATATCAAATCATCACACAAGCTAGTACATGGATGTGCACTTTAAGGTCCATGTCCACCCAGCGTTTTGTTCTGAGTGCAAGCGTCTTTTTTCAATAGTTTTCAATGGGAAGGGAGAGCGTACACAGGAGAAAATGCTCAAGTTGAAAAGCTTTCAACTTTTCAGAAAGGAGCTGTTGACGTCACCACAATATTTTCCAAATGTGTGATACTCCCCATAGTTTTGCTGCCTACCGATCGTGTCTTGTGTCCACATCCTCCGGGCTCCGTGTCTGATAGGGAAATAAACGATCTCAAATATTAAACATGCAGTAAAAAGGAACAGAGCAGTGTCGGTCATACAGCGGCCATTGTCAACAGATGTTGTCATAGAGACAGGACAGACGTGCAGCGCTTTTCTTCTCAGTGCACAAACGCTTCATGCAAGTGCTCCTGAGCAAATAGCCAGCACTTTTCTACCTTTAAGTGTTTTCAGCAACAGATTGTTCTTGACAGGCTTCGAGGGTCTGATTCATTCATCTCATTCTTCATTGTTTCCCCTTCTCAAAACATGTTTCCTGTTATGTGTACGGAGCTTTATTAAAACGTGGATGTGACCGCTAACAAAGCCACTGCAGGTTGTTGACCTTAGAGTAACCCGCTGTCCATCTGTCAGGGGGCGACTATAAGGAAGGACGAGGAGACTGGAGAAATCTACATTGCCAGAGTGATTCATGGAGGACTGGCTGACCGCAGCGGTGAGAGAAGACTGTAAATGACATGCTGGAGATCCAAATAATGCACTGCTGAAATACACAATGTTACATGTCAGGGCTTCATGTGTGTGTGTGTCTGTGTGTGTTATAGGACTTCTTCATCCTGGTGACATGTTAGTCGAGGTAAACGGGAACCCTGTGGTGGGACTGGAGCCGGAGCAGGTCATACAGATACTGGTAGGTCACCTGAGGGACAAAAGAATATTAAAGAATTACTGAAACAAAAAATAAAAACAGGTAGGGGTGTAACGGTCGCTCAGGAGACAGATGAAAATCAGGGTTCACAAAAGGGATTATCTGCTTTCCACTTCCCATGTCTGAGGCCCTCATGTCTCCTACATGTGTAGCTGAATAGAGGCGTGCAGACGGAGAGATCTAAATATGATCAACTTTTGTTTTGCAGATTAACTCTCGTGGAACCATCCTGTTTAAAGTCATTCCAAATGCAGCTCAGAGCAGCAGCAGCCACAAATCGGTAAGAAAACATGAGAGGAGGTTTTACTGCTGAAGACGTTTGAGATCTTTAAATATCATAATTTCATTCTTTTGTTGCGGTGTCAGGTGTACATGAAGGCGATGGTGGACTACTGCCCCCTGCAGGACTCCTCCATCCCGTGTGCCAATGCAGGGATGGCGTTCAGCAGAGGAGACCTACTGGAGGTGGTCGATCAGTCGGACGCTCAGTGGTGGCAGGCCAGGAAGATGCCCTGTTCTGTTTCCTGTGCCGGTCTGATCCCCTCCGCCAGCATGCTGAAGAGGTGACACACACACACACACACACACACACACACACACATACACACACACACACACACATATACACATGCACACACACCTGAAATCATGACCTTATCAGCTTCATTTCCAGTCAACTAAAGGGCCATACAACAGTTTTAGCTTGTTTTAAAGAGCCCATATTATGCCCTTTTTGGGGTTCGTATATTTAATCTATGTACCTACTTTTGTACGTTCACAATAGATAAAGTCCGAAAAAAGTGTCTGTTTTCATGTACTGCTCCTCCTTGCTCCCTCTCCGCTCTGAGTCCGTCAACTACACTCTGTTGAGCCCACACTGGTAGACCCCACGTAGGCCAAGTCTGCTCTGATTGGTCTGCCGATCCGCTCTGTCGTTATTGGTCAGTTGCTCAGCATGCTTCTTGGAAATTTCAACATGAGCTGCAGGGCTTGCAAGACAACGCACTGAAAAAAAATGTATCGAGGGGGGCTAGAACCGAACATTACATGCAGCTAATGCTACAGCTAACAGGAGGACGTAGGAGAAGCCGCGTTTCTGCGGACTTTGAATTTTTGCACATAGATGTGCCTAAACATGCACAGGACACTTGGAAAACACACTAAAGAGCATATAAAACCAGAAAAAACATAATATGGGACCTTTAATACTAATAACATGAAAACAAGTTGTGTTCTGAAATGTTCATCTAATGGCTTGGCTCTTAAAGAATTACCAAACTCTAAATGATCTCTCTCTCTCTTTCTCTGCAGTAAACAGAGGGAACAGTGGTGGTGTCAGCCGTTACAGGTTCATACCTGCATCAGACCCTGTAAGAACTTATTATTAATACCACCTCTAATGTTTAAGACAGAGTCAGTCTCATTTTCCTTCAAAATAAAATACAGACTTCTCCTAAAGTAAATCTGCTCCATTGTCCCTTCTGGGCCTCCGTACACGTGTGGTGGTGACTGTGTCTGCAGAGACTCTGTCCTCTGACTGGATTTTACTGTTCTGGTTTGTTCTGGTTGATTCGGGATGTTTCTGGGCAGAGCTGGTGTGTTTCCTCCAGCCAATGACAGCGCAGCAGGTGAGTTTAGGAGTGGATACAATTAAGAGATTGGACGATTCAAACCGGTGAATATGACGGACTTGGACGTAGCAGCAAAGAAGAGAAAATATAATCACAGTGAGGAGAAACACCAAGTGGATAAAGCTTGTTCTAAAACGAGGGTGAACCTTGTGTTGTCTTTTACCCGTGGACGTGGAGTTGGTCTGCTTCCTGTTGGACAGGCAGGTGACAAACACCGGCGGTTAGCTTGTGCTAGCGTGTGTTAGCTTGCAGTGTAGGCAGTGGTAAAGCAGTAAACGTACACACTACGTCCTGCAGGGGGCGGGGCTTCTGCGGGCGATGAGCCCAGGAGGAGGGGCCTTTTTTGAATGTTTACAAACATTTCTTCTGAAGCCGCCTTAACCTGATGACTCACTACAATCAGCAGTGTGTCGCAGAAAATAAGGATGAAGCGGGAACACTTTTATTCTCCACTGCAGTTACAACTCTCTGCCTGCAGAGGGCAGTGTCACCATCTATTCAGGTCCAGTGTTGTGAATGAAGCTGTTTTTATTGCTGTTTCTTTTCTCTTTGTTCCCCCTGCTGTCTCCAGTGACTCTGCCCGATGATGGTATAAAAAATATTAGATCACCTGTTTGTATTTCGAGACACAATCCCATAGTTTATTCTCCTCTTGTGTGTCTTCAGTGAGTGTGTGATGTATTATAGATGGTGGCCAACTGAGGGTTAACAATTGGCATGGACCTAAATGATGTACATCAGGAATAACGTGTAGCAACACGCTGTACTTGTTCTGAATTTGCTGCTTGTTTTTCCTGATGCACATTATTTCTCTCTGTGGGCCACCTATATTTCTGCATTAAACTAGAAACCTAAATATTTTAAGGTACTGTAACACAGCAGTTCTTGAGAAACTTCACGTTCCTGTTATACCAAAATATTTAAACTCTTTTAAAGCTTTTAAATGCACATTTGTTATAAAACGTTATGAGGATGTTTTACTTAAGTTCTAACTTTCAAAACATCCTTTCTTTCTTTTTGTTCCAGAGGACGACCGAGCACATCCTGACGACAGACTCGTCCTCACAGGTAAATCCTGTCTGACACAAAGATACAAACTGTACAGACGGAAGTTAATGATCGTCTGATAGGACGCAGGATATCTTGGTTTTCTTTCACAGCTTTAAAGGTCACATCTTCTCCTAATGAATAATAATAATGAGGTATTATTGGGTCCTACAAGTTCAAATGAAGTAAGACTAAAAAGTAATTCATGCAGTGAAATAAATAATCCCTTATGATAAATATTTGACATGTTTACATTTCCTTTAGCAGAATTTATAACAAATAACTGAGCTTTTCTTAGGTTTTTAAATCACGTCAGAGTTTGTGAAGCTCTGTAGTAGAGCTGTGCTGTCCCCTGCTGGACAACACTGAAACTGTCACTCCTCATTTTGTGATTTGAAATAAATGTGACAGAAATTCATGCCACAATAAAAATAAAAAGACACGACATGTATGCATTACAAAGCTCTGACTCTGAATAGATTATTATTATTTTAAGATTATTTTTGGGCTTTGCCTTTATTTTTAAAGGACAGTGGGTAGAGTAGAAAACCAGGGAGAGAAAGAGTGGGGAAGACATACAGGAAAGGATTAGACCAGCTGTGTGCAGTGTGTGTTCTACTTAACAGCCTTAAATGACCAATCAGTAAGATGTGTAGTGAGTGAAATGATAAAGGTACCTTACTATATGATCAGACATTAAGGAAACATGCTATGTTGAAGTGCTGGCTTCTCAGACAAGAATGCAGCAGCCAGTATGTCCTCCTTCTAACTTTAGATTCTGCTCCTGAATGATCTAGATTTGTTTGGACCAGAGAAGGTAGGCGGTTTTAAGGCACCACCACATGGCCGTGGACTCTAGAGAGGAGGGGGCGGGGGGAGACAGCGCTCTACACTGTTTAGAATTTGGACTGCAGTACCCATTTAAACACTTGGTGTCAGAGTAACACGTTGCTCCTTTAAGAGGACATGCTTACATGATCTCGACTAATCTAACTTGTCGCGGGATAACAACTTAATTTCAGTCATTTTCTTGAGATCTTGAGAAATTTACTCCCTATCACTGGAAACATTGTTGATATCCCACCAAAAATACCGGATATAAGTCGAGACCTGAAGAGAGAAAAAACTGAGAATATTCTTTAACACAAGAAAACTTCTGTTTGGTGCTCATAGTATTTTTGCTTTATTTGAGATATTTTATTGTTTCTCTGGCAGAATTGTTACCAATAAGGATCCTGTTTTGTTCCCTCAGATGAGACTGAATGTGACATCAGTGATGGGATCTACCTAGGTAAGTTAAATATAAAGAAAAGTGTTTTAAAAAAATCACAAAATCCATCTTGATGAAATATCACGTCATTCTTGGTCAGCTGGTTTCCGGCGGAGTTTCCGCTGTGGAGGAGGACATCTTTCAGGAGGAGGCGACAGTCCTGCACCTCCTGCTCGCCAAACAGCAGCGCTCTGTCCACGCCGTACGAGGAGGTGGCTCTGTACCAGCGCCCCCCGCAGGAGAACCACCGCCTCATCATCCTCATTGGTGATTATTCACAAACTTTCTCCCCCTGTTGAACGATAAGACTCTTTTTCCATCTCTGTGTCTAATCTCTTGAATTGTCCTTGAAGTGGGAGCTTCATCTTTGTTGTTTTCTTTTTCAGGAGCTTCGGGGGTTGGAGTCTCTGAAGTGAGGATGAGACTCATCAAACACAACCCAACACAATTCCAGGGACCCATTCCTCGTACGTGCCCTCTTTAAATTGAACAAGTTCATACACAGTTCTTATAATTCAAATGATTTTTGTTGGTATACATTCGACCTGATTGCACCACGCAGAGCTCAGTAAATGTCTCCTGATGGATTAAATTCATGAAGTCTGTCCTCAAAGCTTCTTCATGAGCTGGCGTGTTAGATAGGCAGCTCTTTTTGAAGGTGATTGGAGGAACATCGAAAAGAAGAAAAGTTCCGTCACTGAACAGCTTCTGCACACACTGTTTGGACGGCCACGCCAACCGCTGTTTAATTAGTGTAATATTTACATGAAAAAAGCACAAACACGGCCCAGAGGTTAAAGGTCAGGGACTGAATAAGCTGAGGGGACACCTAGCAGGCAGCTAGCAGCTCCCACCTGTCCCTCAAAGAGGCCATGCCCCCTAATTCTACATCCCTTTAAGTCTAAATATAATGTAAAAAGGTGAGTTGTATAAACATTCAGCCCGTACAGTTGAAGAGAGAAATGAGCTCTAGAGACCCAAACTGTTTCTGTACAAGGCTGTAAACATGTTTATTTTAACATTGGACTCTATGGGGACTGACTCACTGCAGGAGACAGAGTCTAGTGGACACTGGAGGACCTGCAGCTGTAAAGTTGGACATTTTAACATTTGGCTCTACCTGTGTTCCTCCAGACACGACTCGTCCAATCAGAGTAGGCGAGCAACCAGGAAGAGATTACCACTTTGTCACCAAAGAGCTGTTTGAGTACATGGTCTGTAACAACAGGTAGGTCACTGTTTTATCTTTTTTTTTTTTTTTTTATAGTTTGTGATCTTCATTCTAAATCATAAATCATAATAAAATCATATTCTCAGTGATTTTCTGATTGCTTTACTCATAGATTAGGATTATATCAGGATTAATTTCTAGTTTTGTGTCATTTATAGTCTCCTGATGTGAATTTTATAATGTTTGATCAGGTTGGTAGAGTACGGCGAGTTTAGGGGTCACCTGTACGGGACCAGCACTGATGCTATCGATGATGTGCTGAGAAGAGGACGGATGTGCATCATCGATGTTGAACCACACGTGAGTATTATTCAGAAGCTGCACAGTCCTGAGGTGGAGTCATTTAGATTTCATCCTGTAAAATGATTCCTTCTGCCTTCTTCCATTCCTGGTGTTTTCTGTGTACAAAATACAGCAATTCTTTATTTCTTTACTACCAAAACACATAAAACAAACAAATCCAGAGCATTCAGGACCAGAATCTAAAGTTAGAAGGAGGACATACTGGCTGCTGCATTGTTGTCAGAGAAGCCAGCACTTCAACATAGCATGTGTCCTTAATGTCTGATCATATAGTAAGGTCACTTTATCATTTCACTCTCTACACATCTCACTGATTGGACCTTCAATTATTTTAAACACAATGATTCATGATTTTTAATTAGTATTTTTAATTGGGGGTTAATTTATTGATCTCAGTTATGTTGGTCCCTTTTTATAGAGCATTCAGGTGCTGAGGACGAGGAAATTGAAGCCTTACGTGGTCTTCATTAAACCTCCGAGTCCGGACAGACTGAGACAAACCCGCAGAGACGCCCGAATCATCACCAACATCACCGCCAACAGAGCCTTCACTGTAAGAAAACCATCGCTGTTAAATAGTTGATCTAAGGCATCTCTAAACAGCTCAAAAATCTGTTGATGCAGAAGGTAAAAGACAAAGAGATAGAGTATAAACATGATGGGAGTTAATAACAAACCTCTTGTGTTTCCTCCCCTGCAGGAGGAGGACTTTGTGGATCTGGAGGACTCGTCCCGGCTGATTGAAGCGAAGTACAAACAGTTCTTTGACGGCGTGCTGGTGAACGAAGTCCTGCAGGACACCTGCATGCAGCTCTGCTCTATCATCCAGGAGGCGCAGGAGGAGCCACAGTGGATACCTGTCAGCTGGAGCCGGGCCGAGGAGTAGACGAGAGGAGGAGACAAGGAGAGGAGGAGACGAGAGGGGAAGAGGAGGAGACGAGACGAGGAGACGAGAGGGGAAGAGGAGGAGACAAGGAGAGGAGGAGACAAGGAGAGGAGAAGACAAGAGGGGAAGAGGAGGAGTCAAGGAGAGGAGAGGGAAGAAGACAAAGTTATGAGATGAAGAGAGAGATGAGGGTGGAGAGGGGGCGACACAGAGAGAGAGAGAAAGATTGAGAAGTGTTCTTTAAAAGAGGAAAGAAGGATTAACTGCAGATCATAACATTATCTGTTTACTTCCGCTCTACAGGCAGGAACTGAAATGTCACAAGCCACAACGCTACAGCGCCCCACAATGGTTAGAGGATGCCATTACTCACCTCCAGGGCTCCCTGGCATGCACTGACTGGGACATTTTCGATGGAATCTTGAATGACAGGGTCTCTGTCATCACGGATTACACACATTTCTGCATTAACAGCAGCATTCCTGTAAAAACAATAAAAAAGTATCCCAACTCCAAACCATGGATAACTCCCCAACTAAGACAGAGCCTAAAGGAAAAGAGCAAAGCCTTTAGGCTCAAGGACTGGGAACGCCTAAAACTGGCAAACAGAACAATATAAAATGAGGTTTTCAAGGCAAAATTTAAATTCAAAGACAAACTGGAGTCTGAATTAGCCAACATGAACACCAAGCAGGCTTTTCAGAAAGTCAAAACTCTCATCGGGTGTGAATCCAGAACCAAAGTAGGTACAATAACTGACCCAGCCTCATTTGCAAAACAACTCAACACTTTTTATGCCTGTTTTGACACCCTGGACTGTACAGCTGACTGTGAAGCATGGTTAAGAGCCCTCCCTCTATCAGAACCCGTTGAGCCAGCCCCCTTCACGGTAGAGGATGTACAGCGCCAGCTCAGCCGATGCAAGGTGGGCAAGGCTCCGGGGCCTGACGGCATCCCAGCAAGAGTGCTGAAGGCCTGTGCCCACGAACTCTCACCAGTACTCTTCTCACTCTTCTGTGAATCCTACCGGACTGCCACCATACCCACCCTCTGGAAAACTGCAACAATAATTCCTGTACCTAAAAAACCCCGGCCCACTGAACTCAACCACTGTCGCCCTGTTGCTCTCACCTCCATTATGATGAAGTGCCTGGAGAAACTATTACTGAACACCATTCTGCCAGTTGTTGCCCCACAGCTGGACCCCCTCCAGTTTGCATACAAGGCAAAAAGGGGCACAGAGGACTGTGGCCTGCCTGCTGCACCTCCTCCTTCAGCACCTAGACTCCCCAGGTCACTTTATTAGAGTCCTCTTCGTGGACTTCAGCAGTGCTTTCAACACCATCCAAAGGCATCTGATGATCCAGAAACTACACCAGCTCTGCACCCCCTCCCGCCTGATCCACCTCATTCACAACTTCCTCAGTGACAGGCTGCAAGCTGTGCGAGTGGGCACAACCTCATCACCTGCACTAACCACCAACACCGGAGCACCACAAGGATGTGTACTAAGCCCATTCCTGTACACACTCTACACCAATGAATGCACCAGCCCATCACCCACCACCACATACCTCAAATACTCAAACGACACAGCCATCATTGCCATGCTCACCGACAACCACTCTGTCCAGGACTACCACAACACTATCACAAACTTCTCTCAGTGCTGTGAGAATAACCATCTTCATCTCAATGTCCCTAAGACAAAATAATTAATAATCAGTCCCCCCCTCACCTCAGCACCCACTTCTCATCAATACCCAAGCAGTGGAAATAGTTAACAGTTTTAAATATCTCGGAGTAACACTAGACAACCAACTCAGTTTTGAACAGCACACCAGTGACATCCATAAAAAGAGCCATCAAAGACTGTCAGCCATCCGCAAACTGAAAGGACTCTATGTTGCCCCCATCTCCTCCTGCTGCTATATCAGAACATGATCCAGCCCAGCTTACTGTGCTGTTCCACCTGCTTCTTTAACATGTTGTCTGTAAAAAAAACAAGGCCAAACTCACATGCATCACAACCACAGCTGCCAGAATAATCGGTCTCCCCACACCCAACCTAACAGAACTCAATAACAGGGGCATCACACGCATTGCAACCTCAATAGAACAGGGCATCACACACCCACTGAACACTCACCTCGCCCCACTCCCCTCATGATGGAGGTATAGAGCACTGAGGTACAGAAAGGCTCGCCTCGGGAGGAGCCTGATCCCTGCTGTAATAACGGCCCTGAACAAAAGGCCTCGCTGAACAGGCCAGAGTGGGAACTTTTGACTGTTGTCTAATTCTGTTTGTTGTGTTATACTCTGTTTTTCTGTGTATGAATGTTCTTTGGTGGGACTTGTCTGTTTGGACAGTAACGGTGCTGTGGAAAAGAATTTCCCCCTGGGGACAATAAAGTCTAAAGTCTAAAATTATGGAACTATTGAAAAGAAGAGAAGCAGGAAGAGACGCATGCTTGGACTAAAATAGAAAAGTAGAGTTGTTTGACATAAGAAAAGGAAAGACTGAGGAGAGCATAACAAAATGTCTCTTTAGCCGTCTTCACACACGCCCTCCTGAAAGGTTTTAGATAATTTCAGGAGGACTGCTCCTGATCTGGTTGTTCACACATGCACCGCACAGCTTCCTCACATTTTTCTCCTCTAATGTTGTGAACTCTCTCTCCTCGTTGAAAAGAGTTGAGAAAAGGCGCTGGCGATCAGAAAAAAACACCAGGTGGACTCGGGGCCTTAACGGCTCGTAAATGTTGGACAGCTTTAACAATCGATGAAGTTCTCAGAGTATCTTATCTTTAGTCCAGTGTGAACACACTCTCCTTACTGATCATCTCTGATGTAGCATGGATGTGGAAATGTGTTTATACTGTATATGATTATTAAAAGATCAAATCACGCTGTTGCCTACATCTTCTTCTCCCTGCAGGTTTCTGTAACCCTCCTCCCCCTCCTCTTCCTCCTACCCCTCCTCCTCTTCCGCCTCCTTCTCCTCTTCCTCCTCCTCCTCTTCCTCCTCCTCCTCCTCTCCTCCTCCTCCTCTACTTCCTCCTCTTCCTCTTCCTCTTCCTCCTCCCCCTCTTCCTCCTCCTCCTCCTCCTCCTCCTCTCTTCCTCCTCTTCTTCCTCCTCTTCCTCATCCCCCTCTTCCTCCTCCTCCTCCTCTTCCTCCTCTCCTCCTCCTCCTTCTCCTCCTCTTCTCTTTCTCCTCGTCCTCCTCTTCCTGCTCCTCTTCCTCCTCCTCCTATCCCTCCTCTTCCTCCTCCTCCTCTCTTCCTCCTCTTCCTCTTCCTCCTCTTCTTCCTTCTCCTCCTCTTCCTCCTCTTCCTCTTCTTCCTCCTCCTCCTCTTCCTCCTCCTCCTCCTCTTCCTCCTCTCCTCCTCCTCCTCTTCTCTTTCTCCTCTTCCTCCTCTTCTTCCTTCTCCTCCTCTTCCTCCTCTTCCTCCTCCTCCTCTTCCTCCTCCTCCTCCTCTTCCTCCTCTCCTCCTCCTCCTTCTCCTCCTCTTCTCTTTCTCCTCTTCCTCCTCTTCTTCCTTCTCCTCCTCTTCCTCCTCTGCCTCTTCTCCTCCTCCTCTTCCTCCTCGTCCTCGTCCTCTTCCTCCTCTTCCTCCTCCTTCTCCTCCTCTTCCTCTTCCTCTTCCTCCTCCTCTTCCTCCTCCTCCTCCTCCTCTCTGTCAGGTTAATCCTGTGCAGGACAGATGCAGCTCAGCAGATTTAACGGGGATTAACGTCTTCTCACTGCAACATTCAGCTTTACTGACATCAATACAAGCTGCAGAGAGAGAGAGACGTTTAGTCAAACGACAGATATCAGCACATACACAGGAAATAAGAACTTCATATCGTTATTTTAACGCTGCTGTTGTGGCGTTCCTTCGTCATGAATGTTTCCCTGTGTTAATATTATTTTTAAATTAAAGTTAAATACGAATAAATCGACAACATTAACATGAGTAAGAAGATTAATAGTGAGGGAGGATTAAAGGGAATTACACACATCGTGAGTTCACAAGGAAAGAATCTTTTCATTTGATGCAGAATTTAATATTTTGGTTGAAGCGTTCGTTGTTAATTTACCTTTTTTTATAACCTTTGTTTTTCTGAGATGCGTGTGTGTGCCTGTCTGCGTCCATGTGTGTGTGTTTGTAATAGGATTTGACATCTTGACCTGGTTTCTGCCGTGTGAAGGTTTTAACTTTGACCTGTTTTCTCAGACACACACACACACACACACACACACACACACACACACACACACACCTGCTCAGTCTGCAGGTTTACACAGCAGCTGTGTTTGACTTTAACAATGAGAACAGCACGACGCTCATTCTGATGTTTCTCTAACTAACTAAATATCACCAACCTGAACCTCTGAGATCAGAGACCTACGTTCAGCAGCCAGAGAAAGAATAATGTATACAAACAAGAAGTATTAAAGCAGTTTATACATGTGATGGTGAAATGGAAGATTTGGTTATTAAAACTGTTAGTTTATTCTTTCTGTATGTTGAAAGAAGTGGAAGGTAGACAGACTAAAGGTTGTCAAAATATTCTTTTAAAAGTACTTTTAAAACGATAACATTTGTTATTTTAATGATCTATAGCATCATCGGTACTGTAGCTTTAAAAATGATCTATTTCATAAGACAGGTGCTCAGGAGAGGAGGGAATACTACCAGCTCCTTCCCTCTGTGTGAACTGAACAAATATGTTTGTAACATTTCAGTAAGGAAGCATTTCTGATGTATTTGTTTGATTTAGGAGTTTTCTTGATATTTTTTGGCAGGCCCGTCTTCAGAGATGTCTGGCCCCTTAAAGGCCCTGAGATTGGGCGATCCTCCCAGGATATGGTATAAATAAACTTGTTAGCGCTAGCCTCCTGGCTAACGTTAGGTCCCTTTGTTTGGCTCCATCAGCCTTTGGACTGACCGACTGAAATCAGATTGTTAACGAGTTCTTCTCTGAAAGGTAAGAATCTGCTCAGTCACTGTGGAGTAATTTACATGTTTAGTGAAAGGTCAGACTCCTCTGGGAGCTCTGGGATAGAAGAGGCAGGTTGT